GACCTGCTCCAGAAGACTGTCACGGGCTCTTACACTCTGGACCTTGACTTTGAAGACCAGAGCTCCTGACACAGACAGTAGGGACGACTCCAGCCTGCATTCACAAGGCAAAGTCTTTCAGCCATCTTAGTTTGGATTGTGTCGTAGGAGAGACCTGGTATTGAAAGGGATAGAGTGAGCGTGTGTGTGTGTGTGTGTGTGTGTGTGTGTGTGTGTGTGTGTGTGTAAAGCAGCAATCAGTGTTGGATATCTTTCTCAGTTGCTCTTTGCCTGAGACAGGGTTTCTGAGACAGTCTATCTCACTGGATCTGGAGCTCACTGGTTGGCTTAGGCTGGCTGGCCAGCAGGCATATGCTAAAGCACTTGGTATTTTTTTTTTAAACATGGGTTCTAGAGCATCAAACTCAGGCCTCATGCCTGCACAGCTTAGCTCTTTACCAACTAAGCTATTTTCCCAGCCCTCAGTGTATAATTTTTGGTACCCAAATTAGGCATCCCAAGAGATTAAAGGGTGGTTAATCTGAAACCCTTTATTACCTTAAGATAAAAATCAGCCTGTGACTCACTGAGTTACACTACTATACAGCGATCCAGGATTATTATAGTTTCATAGTTGTTGCTACAGATTCTTTAGGATGTGAGCGTCCCAGGTTGTCACAGCAGTCTGGGCTGACTGGATACGGGACTTTGAGAGTTAAATCTGAGCCGGTCCTGGGCCAACTGGAAAAGTTGGTCACCATAGAGAATAATCAATTTAGGAGCAAGCGCGGCAGACGGAGGAGAACTTTGCGGAGGAGGATATCCAAGTGGGTGTACGGTGTAGAAGAATGGGTAGCCACCCAGAGCTGGGGAGGGGGAAAGAGAGAACTCTAAGTCAGATGCATGAGCAGCCTCAGACTTCCTAGCACTATTTGCTGAAATCCAGGTATTTAAAACCCAGTGTGTTTCCAGCGATCACTTGCCTTGTTGCTACAGGAAGTGTGAGAGAGCTAAGTGGTTCTGCAAGCTGAAGTGTAACAATTCCGATGTGCGCCCACCTCAGAACACAGGTTAATTAGCTGGTGTTTGCAGAAGCCCTTGAGAGTCGGCAGCACGCCCCCCCCCCAGCCAGATATTATTAGCCAGTTAGCGCCACCTTGAAAGCATAGAACCCTATTTCGGTACTCCCATCAGCCCTTGTTTCTTCAGACTTCTTTCAAACAGCCGGCTTCTTGCAGATTTCAGCAGAAGCTTCTGGCTGGAGCTGAAGGAGCCACACTGCCTGTCACGTGTGTGACTCGGTTCCAAACCAACCCCAGGGCTGGGCTCTAGGATCATCTTCCAAACGTAGCTGCTGCCTTGTTGGAAGGTGTTGCATCTTCTCTTCATGACCTAGTCCTAGATACTTTTTACATACATTTCTCATGTATCCTTTTTATACCACCATACATGTGTAACACCATAGACCATATATGATAGTTGGTCACAAGATATCATGTATCATTTATTTGTTTTCTCTCCGTCTCTGTCTCTCTCCTCTTTCTCTCTCTCTTACGACCTTTAATGATAGCAGATTAAATGTTCTCCCCGGGTTGAAGTTCGCTGACAGACAGCAAGGCCATAACTGATGTCCCGTGCATCTCAGGTAGATTAAAATGGGACCACCTCCCATAAACTGGAAAAATCTTGGAGAAAGGTTTGGAGACAAAATTATGAGAGAAGATAAAGCTTAATAAGCGGGAAAGAAGGGAAGAGAGCCAAACTTTAGTAATTATGGACACAATCACAAAAAAGGGGTCGAGAAGTTGGAAGAAGGAAGACAGAATCCTGTGGACGTGAAGTGCTTTGAAAACTGCATTCATTGCACAGGGTAGGAAGATAGATAGTTGAGTGGTAGACTTGACGTTCTTACCTTCTGAATTCTGTCTTCAGGAAAACCCTTCCTATCCCGTTTGTACAGCCCTGCCCACTCTCAGTTTTCTCAATAGTGTGTCAACTTGTAAATAACATTCTCTTTAGGAAACAGGGCATTTTGATATGGAACAGCCTTAGCCTGCGTCAATCCTGCCTCCCCCAAGCCCATAGGTGCTGTTTATTACCTTCAGTTCCATGAGTGCAGCAGAGGAGGGTTGCATGGTTCTAGATCTTTCTGTTGACTGGATCCCACACATGGAGCTTTCAGGGAGATGGAAGATGAAGGTACCGGATACCACTGTCTTTATCCTGAGAGAAACCACTACACCACAACAAAAGAGAAACTTCTGGAGTTAATTCACATGGAACTGTGCCTTGGCCCCAATGTACAAAATGGTGACTTTGATGGCTCTGTAGAAAATGCCCTTTAGATTTTCTAACCATTGGTGCCATAGTCTCTAAACACTGACAATTCTGACTTACAATGTGTCTTTTACCTATGGACAGCCAGTCACCTTCAATATGAGCTGTCTCTAAGGCTTATCTGGCAGGCAACCGGACTTTGTGAAGTCATCGGCTCCTGGGGGATCTGACCTAATTGAGGAGTGATCAATTTGTTGATGGATTTCCAATTTGATGGCATTATTAGGAAGTGGTATAAACTAGGAGGTGGGGCCTGATTGGAGGAACTAGATCACTGAGGCATGCCTTTGAAAAGCGTGTCTTGTTCCTGGTGCCTTCCGATCTCTCTCTTTAGTTTTGGAGCCACCATGAGGTGAGCATGTTTGCTCTGCCATGGCCCCAAATCAATGGAGCCCCATGCCGGATGGACCATGAACAAAACCTCTGAAACTGAGCTACATCCCAGCAGACTTCAGACAACTTGGTCTTTGGCCGTTGGTTTCTTTTTGCTTTAGAAGTGATGGGTCCCCCACTGTAGCCAGGGTCTGTGTTGATATCCAAGGCTCCTGTTACCACTGAAGGCCTTGCAGTCACCTGAGGTCTGGGGTCATGCTGGTGTCCGAGGGCCACACTGTCACTGGAGCCTTGCTGATTTGAGTGGCATGCACTGCCACCTGGGGCAGTGGTGACATCCAGACCCGGCTGCTGCTGAGGACCATGTCTGGGGCCGTGGTCCTACCGCAGCTGGGATCTGTGCTGAAATCCAAGCCTCGAATTGCCACCAAAGGTCACATGGAACCCCAGGGTTGGGGCTGCAACCTGAGGCCTTGGTGATGTTCAGTGGGGTGGGTCACGCCACTGCCAGAACCATCACAATCTGAGTGGCCACTGATTCCACCCAGAGCCAAGATGTTGTCCAGCTCCAAGCTGCTGCGGAGAGCCATGTCTGGGTCCATGGTCCAGCTGCAGCTGGAGTCTATGTTGATGTCTGTGGACCATGTCACCTCAGGAAGCCTTAGGAACCATGCATGATAACATCAGAGGTCCATCCTGAGCTGACCTCCCTTACCACCTCGATGGCCCAGGGAAAGCTGGCCCTGACTCTCTGGACATTGCAGGAAGAGGAGAGCTGACCTCTGCTCTGAGGAGAGGTGGTCCCACCCCTCACCACAAGGGCATAGGGGAGCTGACTACACCCCCTCATCTGAGTCAGGTGGCCCCAGTGGCTCAGAATGACCAGCTCAGCTACCACCCAGGCCCACAGCTGGGCCTTGGGTTGGCCCACCCTAATATCCATGACTTGGGGTTGGCAGCGGGATATCCAAGAGGAGTTCTGGTGAGGATCCAGTGATGATGGTGAACCAGAAACCAGAGGCCTTGAACCAGGCCAGTGACTCATTGCCAGAAACATTTGCTAGTAGAGCTGATAGGACAAAAGTAGATGCTGTGTGACACACTGAGGCCCCCAGCGCTACCAGGACGAATGAAGAGGTTCTGGAGAGGCGGGAAAGGAGGAGAGATGAAGAGAGGATTTTTGTTGTTGTTTGTTTGTTTTGTTCTTGTTTTTGTTTGTTTGTTTACTTGCTTGCTTTGATTTGTTTTGATTTTTTAAAATTTTCTGGGGGGGCACTGCAGGGTGAGGGGAGGATATGGGGAGACCAGGAGTCGAGTGAAATTAGCGGTGCATGATGTGAAACTCTCAAAGAATCAATAATGAAATTAAGTTAAAAAAAGAAGTGATGAGTCCTCTTGGTTGGAGGTGACTGTCATCTGACTATTCCTGCTTTCTTTTCTGCTCT